AAGGTGTGACCCTTGGTAACGGGCGATTAGTTCTAATCGCCCGCTACAGCGGGCGATTAGAACTAATCGCCCGCTACAGCGGGCGATTAGTTAGTAATCGACCCTGTTGAAACAAAAGAAACCCGGGCAACTATGCTATTACGCCAGTAAATAATGTTGTGTGATGTTGTCATTGTCTTTAAATTATTTTTAATACTATTGTCTATGCCCAGTGGGCGTCTGAAGTGGCTTGAGCCCCCTAACTTTCAGAAGCAGAGGGTTGAGCCCCCCCCTAAAAATTCTAAGTGAATCTCGAAATGAATGCACAATTGCACACGTTTTGAGTTTGCTTAATTATATTTGCCCTGTCAAAATAATCATTAAAAACAAAAAAGCGGCTGTCAATGTGCTAAAATCGCACAGACACCTTGGTCAAATTGTCATTTTGTGATGCCCCTCCCTACAAGGGCATTTATCTGATTAAATTAAATGTTTATTAGATTAAATGCAATAGTAGATAAGATTATTAGTATTGAACTTGAAGTGTAAGTGTAATAGGGCATGAGAGCTCGTAAGAGTAATAGGGCATGAGATTTGCAAACTTAACTGCTCTGACAAACTCCTGGAAAGTATTGTTTAAAACACCTAAAAATACTATATAACCCTAAAATATTTGCCTCTTTTTTGAAAGACACCTCTTTTCTAATAAATGCCTCCTGTAAAAGTTTGAACATTTAATAAACCTCAGGGGCAAACAATATTAGATAATTTACAGGTTTGATATACCAGTATATGCAATTAATAATCATTATGTTAAAAACACAAGTTAGAAATCTGCTGGGATGAGTGAACCATAGCAAAACATACAATTCAATATCAACTCTATTCTAATTGATATGCACCTAAATACTATTGTGGTCACTAAATACTATTGTGCATGCTCACTAAATACTAGTGTGGTTTGCCATGCAAATGTTTTATTTTTTGTTGGATATTATATAGGTTGTATGAAACTCCTGTTAAGCCAGCAACTCCTGCGCAGAAGTCAATGAATTCCATGAAGTGGACTAAAACATTTAATGTTGATGGATTAGATCATGTTAGAGGAAACCTAATTGATAAACTAGATGACATTGAGATACAACAAGGTGATGAAATATGTCCAAATACATTTAAAAATTGAAAGCAAAATATCTACCAGGAATATGTTTCCTATAAGGGTTTACAGTAGGAAACCAGACGGAGTATTGAGTGTGGTGAATAATCATTCTCCGTCAGTGTATTTATAAACCCAAAAGTATTAAGGTTTGCTAGCTTCGCTAGTCCAATTCAAACATGAATACTTTGTGTTTCTTTTTTACATTAGACGATATTTAACTTCCTGGGAGAAAAACACTTGTATAGGTAATAGCATGGTTTTGAGTGCAATTTGGATATAACATGCACGAGTGAGTTTTTCAAAGACCTCTTCTGAATGGACACAGAAGATGTCCAAGTCTTCCATACAGAGAGGCACAAATTGAGAGGCATGTCTGCCCATGACTGGATGATAACAGCGTCTGTGCATGACAACATACAGCGTTTGTGTCTTAAATTGTTTGAAAAGACTAAGTTGCAAAGTGGTAATAAATTAAAGTCACTTATAGTATACCTACAAGATTTAGTGAACATGGTCAGTAGCTTCGTAATTCAGACAAATTATCAATATAACAGGTGTGAATTTTGTCTGCGCTGGTCAATAAATTGCAGGCGCACGCGGAAAATTATTTTAAAATTTGTTAAAATGAGCAAAAACAAGGTTTCGAGTGCCTTTTTTGACGAGGAAACAGTGGATTTATGAGAATTAAAGTTCTTTTCTCCAGCGTTTATGACAAAAGTATATTATTCTTCTACGAAACATAAGCGAAATTTTATACTCTCTTCGAAAATGCTAGTTGTTTTGGCTCCGTGAACAGATAAAATTAGAAAGATAAACTTACGGTGGGTTTGAATTTCGTTTTTCAACACATTTTTCTATACAAAAAATGCTGAAATAGTTTACTTACTCTCAAAACCTTTAAAATTTCGGGGGGCAAAAATCGGGATTTCGCGAAAAATAAGAAAAAGCCAAATTTTCAACCTAAGATTGCAAAAAGTCTAGTCGAGAGCCTCAAAACGAGACTATCCCTAAACAATTGCTTGAAACTATGTTAATTCATTAATCAAAGTTTTTTCTATATGAAAATTCGCGTTGATACCAAAAACGGCGGTCGCGTTTACATCATTTGTAATAGTGAAATAGTCCCAATAAGTACCTGTACGAATCCGGCCAGAAATTGCATGCTTTTGCTAATCTTGCTTGTTAAGGCATATCGCTTGAAAGATTAAAGCCCACATATGTCAAAAAAGTAGATAGTTTTGAAATCCTGTGAATATCTTGTCCTCTGCTGGCATTTACATGGTAATAGTTAAGCAGGAAAATCGACACAAATAAATTAAAATTTTCTCGAGAGCCTCAAAACCAAATATGGTTGAAAATACTTATGATTGCATATACTTTATATTGAGAAGTAATTTGTTTACCTCAAAATTCGCAACAGTAGATTTTTTGAGGATTTTCCTTCGAAATCCGAATGTTTTCAATCTGTTATATTATTTAAAAAAATTTTTAATTCAATTTTACGTTTATAAAGGTTTTTATTCCCTTGCCTGCACCCTCAGGTTGTTATCAATCTATTAAATATTGTTGCTTGGTAGGAAAAATTAGGCCAAAATCCGTAAAAAATAGATCGGCCATTCAATAATTAAATTTACTCGCCCCAGCTCTCATTTCCACTAACCGCGCGAATTCTGACACATGCTCAGACAGAATTCCCACCTGTTATCAATATTTAAATGTAATACAGGTCGGTTCAAGTCCAGTTTTTTCCCAGCACTTAGTCAATTTTCGAATGTTTTAAATTAATTGTTTTAATAGTGCATGTGTTAAAACATTCGGACATTTTAATCCATGTACAATTTTAGCACGGTATGGATTTTACTGATTATTTTTGTAAATATAAAGTATTTCACCTTGGTTGCAATTTTATATTAAATAAACCGTAATAATGGAAACTTTATCAATCGGAATTGTTAGATTATATACAATTGTAAATCTCACTTATATAAGGTAATTTACTACCGGCTACTTGATAAATTGAAAACACTGTGTTTTCCACACAAACCTGAAGTAATTTTTTGGCGTCCGCCGATTTTGGGTTGCAAATATTTGAAGGTAATAAAAAATAGACATGCCGTCAAAGTAAGGTTGCGGTTATTAATTTTGTTTTAGAAGTTTTCCGAGTGGGAACTTTTGGCGTTCAGAAAATGTTGGCCATTTTTGCTGCTGTGCAGAGTGCTTTGCCATGATTTTTGCTGCCAAAAATGGCGGATCTAGCATGATATCGTATTCTCGCGTTACTGCATTGAATATGTTTGTAAACTTGAAATGGCATTTCATGTATCGGTTGCGGGTTGTAATGAGATGTCAGACAATTTATGCCGCCTACCGCATGTTACTAAATATTTAATTTTGAATTACAAATTTGACCTGACTGGAAGCTACTCTGTTTCGTGATCGGCTGATTTTCAAAAAAATGCGAGGCAAATTGCAGTGGCGAGGGAGAGGGGGGGGGGTAGACGTATCATTGTACAAGTAGAAGTTCAGTGTTCTCTGCAACATGAAACGCAAGTTCTTATTGCGACCCCAGTTGCTACACGAAGCCTTGTTTTAGATTGTAGATAATTAATGATATATATTTTAAAATATGTCTTCAGAAATATCCAAGATATAATTTCGTGTTCGACTTCGATTTCAGAAGAATGATATGGTTTTATGAACTGATAACTTGATTAGCGATCCGATCCGTTAGAAAAAGTGGAATTAGCTTGGAACAATGGTATGAAAACTGTTTAGGACCTTCACAAGTTTTGGACGTCAATTTCCGCCATCTTGGCTTCACTTTTCCTATTGGTCGAACATCAGAAGTTCTTACTCCAGATATATATAGAGCTCACTGGTGTATGGTTGTACATTTATAAAATGAAAATAATTTGAATATGTATAACAAATTGAAATTGATTCGAAAACATGCAATTTTGATTCGATTATTATTTATTTCTTAAAATGTAATAAAAAAATTAATAATACAACAGTTTATAAGGTAAATAAAAAAACAAAGTTGATTGATACTGACGCTAGGCCCTTGGAAAAAAAGTTCAATCCACTCCAAAAAGACTGGGCTCCAATTTAATTTCCCGCCACTTTCACAGTTTTCGGGAAAATAGCCACTGTTTTCGTTTTCTGTGGTTCCGCCATGTTTGATTTTATATCGAGTTCAGATCATTAGAGAATATTAAAGAAGCTTGTGAAAATTTTTACAACGCACCGCGACAGGATCGGATGACATTCTAGCTTCAGACAGATGGAGCAAGTCAAGGCGAAAACTTGGCAAAACATGTAATGCCATTAGGTCAGAAGTATCAGGTGTCATGTCACGCTGACATCGCGTAATACAATCGCGCAATGAAAACATGGCTTTTTTCCCTAAAATACCTCATTTCTCGGTTTATATAAAACATTCTTAATTTGTACACTCGGCTTGGGACTCCTTGTGTTATAGCGCTATT